GAGCAGAACAGAATGGTTGTATTGTAGCCTGAGTTTCGTGCAGCCTTTAGTTTTACCAGGTGGAAACATTGTCTATATAATGTGAATACATGTAGAACTAGACATTAAGAGACCCCTGACATTAGGCCTATTTGAAACAATAGTAGGGTCTTTGCAGCTCGCCAACATGCAGGCGTCCTCTGCATAGCAGTATGAATAGCCTTAAAAAAACAAACCCACTATCTGAACCAAATGCCCTAAGTGAAGCCGTTAGTCTCATCTGACTGACCCAAGGTTGGTGCTGGTGTGACAGGGAGGCTTCCAAGTGTTTAAAGCAGATGTCATGCTTTCAGTTCATGGCTCAGTGGGGGGGAGCAGACCCATGTGAGACAGTATCAACGGCTGTAATGTTCGTGTGCCTCCTGAGTCTTTGGAGGAGGAGGAACGGCAGTTTGAGGAGTGTCATTCTCATGGGAGCAGGAAATGGTGTCCATTCTCGGACCAGACCATTAATGTCATGTAGAGCAGCCATAGCATCTCTGTGACTGCACTCAGCCGGACCGTAGCAGGGCAGAACTGGGTGACTTTTAGTGAAGCCGTCCAAGGCCATAGACAAAATGGAACCACGTACTAACAAAAGGGACACAAGGTCATCAATGTCTCTCTTTACCTTTAGCCTAATTGTAAAACAAATGAGTGGAAAAAATGTGGAAGACTAATCCATCATCTTGTGACATTTAGAGTTCATTTAAAGAATTACTTATGGGTTGAAGTCAAATTAACATTAGAACTAAAGTCAGTCAAAATTGGACGTGCACGGATCAGAATCTAATCAATACATCATTTTTCCAGCTCTGTAATGAAAAGGATAACAAGATTAGGTACATTACAGGAGTGTTAAAACATCCAAACATGCATGTGTGTGCTTGTCTGCCCAAGGTTAAAACATTTGGGACAGTAGTGAGAATGTTATGAGAAACAATTTGTTGCTTGCACTGAACTCGAAGGAAGCTGGACTGGAACATTTTAAATAAATCAAAACACTTGTACATTAATTAAATACATTTGACATTTAGCTTGAGTTGGCTTCAATACTTTCTTTATGGTATTTAAATTGGGCTCTAGTTGAACCTTTACGTGGATTTGGCTTGCAACACAAAGTGATACTGATCTCTGTCTGTTATGATTTGAAAGTCTCATGATTGATGAAGTGTAGGGCTGTGAAGGAGAGGCCCTTATTTTAAAGAGATTGCAACATTATACTTTTAAATAATTGCTCAACTCATTTAACACATTTATTATGCACACAATAAAAACTTCAACAAATATATTGATCCTGGTTTAACCAGCGACCTTTACTCTTTTGTTCATAAGCTCGGTTTCAGAAAACTTGTCAGTAGTTTAACAACTATTAGAATTTTAGTAATGTCTCTGGAGACCAAATTGGTTGATACGAGAAATAATTTGAAGCAGTTTAATAAAGAATGTTAAACTATATTTAAGCCTGTAATTGAACTTCAACTTATATTAATTATCTGAATCCAGTGGCCAGTTGGAACAGATAATCAACAAAGTTTCCATTTTGCAGCAACAGCGCAAAATGTTTCTACAATAATTCGTATTATGTCTGAGTCTAGTTCTGTCTTATCAGCTTTGTCTCGGAATGTGTTCAATACATTACGTTTTTTATTTTATTGTTACCATATAATACATAGATTAAGAATAAATGAAACAAATAATACAACATTGACCTAAAAGAGCAGACAGATTTAGCAACCCTGACCTCCTCAGACAGGTTGTTTACGACCAGCAGTGATGCCTCTGAGGGTCTCAGGGTGCAGGACGGGGCATTGGGTTTATAAAAGGTCACAAACATATCTTAACATATTGCCAGCAATACAATTTAAGAATGTATTCTTAAAACAATATAATCGTATTTTCTTCTTACACCTACAGCGCACACCCTGAACAGTGTTCTTCTTGTTTACATGTTTCTCTGCACACTCAGGCCCCGCTCACACGGGACCGTTTGCGTTTATGCACAGTATGCGTATTCAAAAAAGTCTTCCGTTCACATGCATTTGTTTCATTTAACGTGTCTGTTCAAACGAGACCGCTGGAAACGCTGTAGTACATATGCCGGGACTGTAAGTGGCGCTGTAACTTCCGCCAAAATACACCAAAAGTAGCGAAGAAGAGCAGCCCAGCAGCCCCCGCCGCAATGTTGCCATGGCTACCCTTCTGTTCATGCCCCGCGCGCGGTGTATTTAGCAACATGTAGTTCATGTAATTCTCCATGTCCACTTGTTGCTGATGGTTGTGGTAGAGGAGCTGTAGATTTTTGCACTAATATCTGTAGCATGGTCAGTAGCAGTAGCACTAGCAGTAGCTACTGACAGGAGGAAGTGTGTGGCGATTGCTGGTATTCAGCGGGATATAGTCATTTCCTCAGCATATGGATAAATGCAACGGGGAAGTTAACTGAAAGAAACCAAGAAGCACGTCTCTGTGGAGAGGACGCGCTCAGAAAGAGAGATATTCTCTACAAACACCGGGTGAGATCCTCCTTTGTCAATATAATGGATCAATGCATGAAATCTGACTCTGTTTATTTTGTTTAAGGAGTATATTGGGCGTTAACAATTCTGGTTTGCCTTTTATAATATTATTTCATTCAAGAACCCCTTGTGCGTTTAATTAACACAGCTATTTTTGATAGTTGCTACAGCAGTGAGCAGGAGAGGTGGGGCTATCGCTATTTTATCAGGAAATATTCGTATAGAGGTGATTACACGGACTCTGTTGACCCCCCAGAGCGTTTCGTTTGCAAATCTATCCACCTTGGGACCCGTTATTGTTTGTGGGGTCAGTTTCTATCGGCCTCGTGTAAATAATAGGGCTATACGCACGCGAAACTATGCAGATACAAGCAGTTTTCTCCTCGTGTAAACGGCGCCTCAGATGCAGGACATAAAAACACTCTTTTGCTATTTATTTTCCTTTTGCAGCACATTTATACTACCAGAATTTTGCTTTACATCTTTATATTATTTATTTGCAGGTCTCCCTTGAAAAAGAGATCAATGATCTCAATGGGATACACCTGGATACATAAAGGTTTGAAATGAAATGAAATGATTTGTCTCAAGTCATTTACTTTTGGTGAGTTAACTAAAGCTTAGTTTATTTTACCCTGGCTATGGACTGATTCATTATTAGTTGTTACAAAACATACACAAGACGGCGGTTAGACAAACCAATATAGACCCCCGATACAAACAATCAGACAAACAAACATGAACTCATAATAAACACCAGCGTGCCAGCAAAGCTCATCCAGCTCAATTTAGTCAGAACTAAGAGGTTTCAGAGGGGGGAAGGAATTATCTCCAGTGGGGCGCCTTGACTTGCGCTTCCACCCTTGTATACAAGTCCTAGATCGGTGCCTGATGACCGTCCAAGAGCAATAACTAGCTTATCCTCTTGCGACACCACTACTCTATTCTAGTGGCGCTATGCCCCCCCGATCAGGAGCACATAGACTTTTCTCCTCTACCCTTTCTCTCCAACAACAGCACAGTTAACTGTAGTCACTACGGACCAGCCTATACACTCGCTATCGAGTTCATCACAACGATGAAACACAGTTTTGTTCTACACTCGCTTGCCACTGCCCACCCGTGATCAATTAGCCTATAATGTTATGTATGCACCCCGGACCGGCACCAGTTCCTCCAGCAATGTAGAGAACTGTGGCGCAGCTATAGACAAAGGCTGTGACTTTCTCCCTCTCAGTGCACTTCACCAGCCACACAGATACGGGAGGTATTTACACACACACCCGGAGCAGCTGGAGCCGTGTTTATAGAGGCGATAGCGGTAATATCTCTGGCTGCTTATTTTTAACTGTTAGTGCTGGCCGCTGAAACCCCTAGAATTCGGTGATTTGTCCAATACAAATCTTTTCATTGCTTTCATACAGAAGTTCCACTTTACTGATGCCCTTCATTAAGGTCTCTCTAAACATGAGCTGTGTACGCTTGTATGGCACTTCCGTCCCGAGCAGCACACACAGAGGAAATCAGCCAGGACAGAGTCCCCAGACACTGATCCCCTGGGTTTGTTATCCCCAAATGTTCATTAACCAAAAACGAAACACAGCCGCTCAGCTTCACAGATAATTTTAGGATACCGTCAATCACAGATTCTGGTAAGGCAATGTCCAAATGTGGATTTGAAATTACACTTACCAGTCTCTGAAGATTTGTTGGTATCCTGCCGACAACGCCAATTTTTTGGGGGAAACTTCTGTGTAGCAATGCAGTGGGAGTCACCGACTCAGGAAGGAGACACGAGGAGAGCTGGAGCTTTGATGTCAAACACTGATGGTTTATTACGAGTTTCGGCCGGAGAATTCACATCACAAGTCACGAGCCAGAGGGTCTGACTTCACGGTAGAGTTGCCACGTCAATTCTGAAGAACTCTACCCCAGACCCGTGTATTTAGCTAGTTCAGAGAGAATATCAACATTGTGCATAACAAGATAGAATCATAACAGCTCTATCAGCTGACGCCAACAGGCAGGAACAGGGAGACAGAACACTGAGAGCACAGCAGCCAAGGTTACAGGTGCGTGTGCTCAGTCAGGACAGTATGAACTGATGAACTGGGTCAAAGTTATGGGCCTTGGGAAATATTTCCCCAACAGAGAACACTTTAATGATCAATCATTATAAAACATATCATATATATTATTCTGAAATGGACCAATCTGCACAATGACTACTTTTACTTTTGGTACTTCAACTATATTTTGATGATAATACTTTTCTACTTTTACTTGAGTAACAATTTTTAATGCAGGACTTTTACTGTAACAGAGTATTACTTCACTCTTGTAGTTCTACTTTTACTTTAGTACACGGTCTGAGTACTTCTCCCACCTCCGCATGTTTTATTTTCTTATAACAGAAAGAATGTATGCAGTGTAGTTTCAATCAGACTGTTTGTTCCATTTCAGGTCAACATGTTTGTGGAGGGGTTCCATGATGCCATGCTGCTGTATGCCATCGCCTTGCATGAAGCTATGAAGAATGGATACAGTAAGAAGAATGGAACGGAGATCACGTCTCACATGTGGAACAGAACTTTTGAAGGTCAGACACACTGCTCACCAGTGTTTGGGTAGTCACTCAGTAAAAGTAATGCATTACACATTACTGGTTACTTTAAAGGCCTCCTATCATGCAAAATGCACTTTTTATGTCCTTTATACATAGATATGTGTCCCCGGTGTGTCAGGGAACTCACAAAGTGTCAGAAAACAAAACGTACCCTCATCTCTATAAACGGGGGAACAACGGAGCTGATCCAGATTTGCTGCGTCATGACGACATTACTCAAATGTGGGCTGAAACAGAATCAGAAACAATGCCGTGTTTTGGACGTGATATGGTCTGTGTTTACATTAGCAAGCATCGCTAACACTCAGAGCTAAACTGTACTGGAGAGAGCATGTGTAAAAATGCAGGAAATAAAAAGGTTCTCACCTTGTAGTAAACCCAGAAGAGAAAAAGCGACCATACTGTTTCAGAAATAATGCTTGATGTGGTTTGGAATATAATATGGTGTTTAATCACGGCAGCGTTTAGCTGAGTTTCAGCCTTCTCTTCACAGACCTTTGTTTCTGCTCTTTGTTTGAACATCATGTTTTCTGTAGCTCAGTTTCCATCCCCCCGTTACCTGTATCTTGCTCAATATGTTTCGGAAGACGGCGATTCCACCGTGGAAACAGCAACATGTCCTCCATGATGTTTACTGTGACTGTTTATCTCTGCTATGAGACATTTGTGCTCCGTCTCCTCACCCTTGAAGTCGCGAGTCTAGCGCAAACCAAAAGGGTTTATTTTCTGTCCTCCTGTTATGCAGATAGTGAAAAACCTTAAAGTCACGCAAGTAATGAGATCATTTCCTGCCTAGTAACTGTAATGCTGAATGTAATGTATCTGCGTTACATTACTGCGTTACAGACAAATGTAATTAGATTACAGCTGCTCACACAGGGTCTGCCCCCCCCCCCCCCCACACACTTTAATCAGCAGGTGGCAGGAAAGAACGTTGAGAGCTTGGCTCGGGTCTTAAGGACTTTTAGATGTATTTACTGACAAATAAAGTGTACACACACACCACACTACTACCTTCACAGATATAGTGTTACTCAATGACCGTCTCACACACACAAGCCCTCTCTTCTTTCTCTCTCTCAACCACTCTCACTGATTACACACAACATAAACACTGTGCTATTCCTTACACTACGTTTGCTACTCCTAACAAACTTCAGTATAAAAATGTAAATGTAAATATGTGTATACATGCCTCATTTACCCCTTTATATTTATGTTTATGTATATATACTTTAACTTTGAGTGTATAACTTTCCTGATATGTGTCCCCATATTTCCTACATCCATTTTGATATTAAAAGCCCTATTTAACTTTTAATCAAAATAGTCCCTTTTAGTTGTAAAATATTAGCAGGAAGGTTTTTTGGGAAATGAAGTGACTTGCATGGTTCCAATTCCACGTTACTACAAAACACTGTTTGGCTGGGACACTAACACAAATATGCCCCCAGTGACTGAAATAGGACAATAGCACCTTAGATAAGGACTCCACAGCAACAATATGTTGAATATAGTGTTATTACTTAGTCATTTTTTTTCAAATGATATGGAAAGCTTTTGATATGGCTTTTATCTGACAACTGGCCTTTATTTAGGAAAGTACTGATTTTAAGTATGAAAATGTAATTATCGTTTATAGTGGCAGGAATATTTAGTTCTCTATATTATGGGAGATTTGTTCACTGATATTCTTATTGTCTTTGTGGTGATGAACAGGAATTGCTGGGCAGGTATCTATGGATGTCAATGGTGACAGAAATGGTGATTTCTCTCTGATGGCGATGACGAATGTTGACGCAGGAACATATGAGGTAAGAAGAAACTAAATTCCTTCTGAAATCTTCTCTAACAGGTAGCAGATGGTACGTGTGCTTGTCAGAATCCAACTGGATGATAATATTGAATGCTAATTTACAGGTGGTTGCCAACTACTTTGGTGAAAATGGAACTTTCCAGCTGCTGCCTGCATTCAACTCTGAGCATTTCACCCTGAGAGGAAGACATAAAGAACAGCCAGAGATCCCAGACAAATCATGTAAATGAAAACAACTGTTACTGACTCCTTTGAAATGTGAGCCAGAATGCGCGCTAAGCATGATGGAGTTCATGTTTTTAACAATAACTGCTCTCCCAAACAGGCGGACTAGGAGTATCAGCTTTGACTGGAGTCATAGTGGGAGCTGTTCTGGGAACTGCATTGCTTATAGCATTCTACTTTTTCAGGTAACAGTAGTAGATATGTACTGTAAGTATGTATAAGCTTTCATCTGTCCAGGCAGCTACAGTCAGCTGTCAATGAAAGAGGCCCTATTCTGCCTTTTGAGGTTTTCCCTCTCCTGTAGTGTGTTCTATAGGGTTTTGTGCATGTCAAATCCCTGTGTTCCCTCCAGAGGAAGTTTCTGTCCAACACACTCCCCCCACCCCCCCCACCTGAAACACCTCCATTGGACTCCTTTGTTTGCTAAGTGACATCACTATGTAACACTCACGCTTCTATTGGCTAGCGCTCCAACACATTGTACGTGATAGGCTAAAGGGGGAGGGACATCTCTAAACAGTTGACCAATCAGAACAGAGCCGGCCAGCTAACCAATCAGAGCAGACAGGGCTCTGGTTTCAGACAGAGGGTGAAAAGAGGTGCTGCAGCACAGGCAGTATGAGAACAAGAAAGAGCTTTTTGAACATTAAAGCATGGAGACATGTCCCAGGCACAAAATAAACATATGAATCTGAAAATGAGCAGGATATGGCCCCTTTAAACAACTCCACCTGACTCAAAGGCCTATAGATACTGTATATGGTATAAAACAGATACATATATATACTATCTGTAATTTCTACATGGATTCTCGCATCACAGTATGGTGGCACATGTCTAAAAACTAGTTAAAAAAAACTAAATGCTGTTTAAACACTTCAGAAAAACGTATTATGTTTGTTGTACAGTGCAAACTGCAATAAAACCCCAGTCTGCCAGAAATACAAATAAGTACTTTTACTTTTACTGTAGACACAGAATCGTTGTACAATGCTGACAGTTTTAGACTCATGCTTTCAAGGTCGCCTTGTTTCCAAAAACGGGGTCAAACGAGATTGTTCCTTTTAATATGATTCATTGTTCTGCAGAAAAAACTACAGGATTACTATTGAGCGTCGCACACACGGTGAAGAGTGTGACACTGGGAAGCACCGTCAGCTACGAGAGGACTCCATCAGATCCAACTTCTCAGCAGCGTGATGCCAGCAGCAGAGAATCACTCCTGAATGTGACCAAAGACTTTGCAGTGGTTGTCAGTGGAGCCATGCTGTTAAAAATGAGACATTGTGTGTTTGTATCCTTTAATATTTTTTGACTTATTGTAACTCAGGACAGTTGTAACAATCACAAAGCACCACTTACTCGGATCGTCCTGCATACAAAAGGTATATGATTGTATAGAAAGCTTTGGCCATAATATTTTTTAAAGATTTTTAAAGAATTTGTTGTTTAAATATTCAGATGGTGTTAGCATGACTGTGAACGATTGAGTGTATCTAACACTACACTTGCATACATTAATGATGGGGGGAGGTCTGCTTTTGGCTCTCAGGTTGACAGGAATTGTACAGGCCTCATGTTTAAGGTTGGACCTATACTGTATGGATAGGAAATTAGCTACTGATATTAAGCTACTGATATTATAAGGTTTTCAGTGTACCATAACTCCAGCAGCCTCCGTGCAAATCCTTCCTACCTGAGCACATTGCTCCTAAAATCAGAAACACTGGGTCCTATTTAATCTCTTCTACTTTTTAAATGAGCTAATTTACAGTGTTTTTAAATGTGTCTAATAAATTGAAATTGCTACCTGTTTAAAAGACTGTGGTGCTACTTTCTGATAAGGCATACTTCACAAAGCTTTTTAAATTGTTAAATCATTTACTCGTGCTTTCTAGATCAGTAATACATCAGGAGTAAGAATGACTTGTGGTCATTCTGGCAACTTGGTTTTACGTTCGTAGTGTTCCTTGATCATGTGACCTGTCTGATCTTGCTATGGTTTGCTCACCTGCTCATGTTTGTTCTGAGATCTTACCGATTACCTTCTCCAGTAAATGTTGCATAACCAAGAAACCATAGTAAGTCGTTTGAAAGTCTCTTTTTGAAAGAGCTAGCTAAAAACATGAAGCCAGTTTTCAAGTGAAAGAGCATTAACTCAAATATACATACATTAATAAAGGATTAAGCAACACTACCAAAGACATAAGTTCCAATTGGTATTCCCCTATCAGAAAGAGAATCTGAAATCATAAATACATTTCTGCAGTTTGATGCTCTTTCAATGATTTACTTCAACTTTACTGACTGCATGTAAGAATCATTTCAGTCTGCATTAAGTGACCTATAGCTCAGTCTGTCTTTACATTACTCATGCAGGACTTAGGGGAGTTTTTTATACACGCAAAATAAAGAACTTGCTGGTTCAGTTTGTGTGTTGGGGAAATAAGCTGATTTATTTAATACAGCTTAAAAAAACATTTCTATTCAGGAGGACCACATTCACTTGCTTTATTTTATAGCTCTGTATATTATATGATAACTTTTAGTATCTGATAGGGTATAATGTATTTAAATTATTTTTGTTATTTAACATAAACATTTAAAAAAGTGTATATCTCGATATTGTGCAAGTAGATATGTTAATAAACATCATTTGGTTTCTACATTATGATTTCTCCTTCATATATTCAATTTCACAAACACTTCAGTTGTTCTCAATGACATCATGGTTATATCTTCCTAAGCTGTCAACATACATTTAGATCTTATAGTTTCATTTATCCAATTTATATTTTATTCATGAGGATTTCTTTAATTGAATTTACTTTAAGTTGTTATTATAGTTTTCTTTCTTTCAGAATGTTTAGATTATTGTGTAAAGCAGGGGTATATCCTTAAAGATTTCATTGAGTTTTTTTCCCATTTTGGTTTAATCAGTTTAAGTCCGTTTTTTTTAATAACAACCTGGAAATGATATAGTTAATCATTATCTTTATTTACTAAGCTGCAGATGAAAGGTTTAATCTATCCTCCCGAATGCAGCTTTTAGAAATCCAACTCCATAAGGATTGCAACAGTTAACATAGGAATGTTTGATTTCTAACACCAACTTTTTTAGGTTTTTACAATCAAGTAACTTTTTTACCAAAAACATAAAGAACGAGAATAGGTCTTTAAATCAACTCCAATTAACAAGTTCTTCAAAAACAATCGCAAACAGCGACTGGTCAAAATAAATGTTACCAAATACTGTATTTGAAGGCATACATTTAAGTCAGGGGTGTCAAACTCAATTTCATCGAGGGCCACATCAGCATTATGGTTGCACTCAAAGGGCCGGTTGTAACTTTAAGACTATATAAGAATACATATATAAATATTTAATATATATAGTACCTGATGTACTTATATGATTCTGTTTTCTTCAAGTTTGTATCTTCCTGGTCGAATGCACTTATTGTCAGTCGCTTTGGATAAAAGCGTCAGCTAAATGCAATGTAATGTAATGTACTATATTTAAAATAATGTATTATATTACATGATTGCCTCTGCATTGGATTAATATCAGATATATATATATATATATATATATATATATATATATATAATAACTTCATAATTAACTACATCTGAAAGAAGAAGTCGAGGGCAAATAATTGCAAGTCTCTTCAGTGAGAATGTCACAAAATGATTTAAAACGAAAAGCCAAATTATGGAAAAAAAAAGTCAAAATAAAAAAAAGAAGTAACATTTTGAAAAGAAAGTAACATTTTGAAAAAAAATAACAATTCTGAAAAAAAAGGCACATTTTGAAGAAAAAACAGCCAAATTCTGAGAAAAAAGGCATATCTGAGATGCATTGTGGGACATGTAGTTTATGGGCAACGTGCTTCTGTAAAGCGGCACGTAACCGTATAATAAACATATTATATTCTTTGCAAGCTCTTGTGTGGCCACAGAAAATGAAGTCACGGGCCGGATTTGGCCCCCGGGCCTTGAGTTTGACACCCCTGATTTAAGTAATACACTGCACATCAAAAGGGAGATGTGAAACTGAATTAGACACAGACATACCACAGGACATATGGCAACAAATATGCACTAAATCACACTCATTGACCTACTTGTTGGGAATTAAAATGAAAAGTAAATATGCCATTTTTTGGACACATGAAATTTGTGGCAAAAATCTGCTCACATACTCAAATAAATGTTGGAGAAATGGGGGTACGCAAATTGGCAACCATATTGCATACACACTTTGGAAGAATTTAGGAAGAGGTGTTTGAGTCCCTTAAAGAAGTGTCCTGCTACAAAAAGAATGAATACAAAGGAGGTATTACTGGGAGTAATACATGAAAGCAGTGATGGCTAAAGGGTGTCATCTTGATAGTGACATGTGGGGGTTTCTCTACTTCATTTTTAACTAGACCAGTAAACATGCAAATTACTATTCATTAGTTTCATGATAATGTCAACAATTTGAGAAGCAACACTGAACAAATACTAGGACTCCATATACTAATCAAGGATTTAATAATAAAGAATAAAACATGTATATTTACAATTGCAAAGGTTACAATTACAGAAGTTGATTGTCTGCATAAGAAATGGGAGGAACACAAGGTGAACTGTGTAGATCATTTCGATGTTAGGTGTTACTTTTCCTGCCTATCATGTTATTAATGAGAGTATTGAAAACGACTGTATTTGTGAACAATTGAATTTAAAGATTGTAATCATGATTTGTAAAGTGCTCTATGGTTGCATTGCTGAATTGCTACTTCCCTATGAGCCAGGGACAGCCTTAGATCCTCCACAGGGTTCTGCTGGCTGTTCTCAACTCAAAACTAAAGGCTTTCAAGCTATAAACTCCCACCCTGAAGATCTGAGACTCGACGATACATTGTCTAAAATCAGTCCTCAAAACTTTCAAATAGCTTTCGACTAATTAATTAAACATTTTAAAAAGTCTTATCTTTGAATGTTATTGCCTTATTTTTGGCATATTATATCCATTTAAAGGTCCCATGTCATGGCCATTTCTACTGATCATAATTCCATTGTTGAGGTATACTAGAATAGATTTACATTGTTCAATGTTCCAAACTCACATTGGTTTCTCATACAGCATCTCTGTATAGTATGTGTATTCACTCTCTGTCCTAAACGCCTTGTTGGAGCTCTTGCCCCCCCCCCTCCCTATGAGCCCACGGTGCTCTGATTGGTCAGCTCGCCCACTCTGTTCTGATGAGTCCACCACCGTTACCCGAACCCAGCCCGAGCAGACACACACACCCGCAGCCTCCCCGCGTCCCGCCGTCTCAGGCTGAGAAATCCGCGGAGCTGCAGCTGAGAAAAGATTGAGTGTGTGTGTGTGTGTGTGTGTGTGTGTGTGTGTGTGTGTGTGTGTGTGTGTGTGTGTGTGTGTGTGTGTGTGTGTGTGTGTGTGTGTGTGTGTGTGTGTGTGTGTGTGTGTGTGTGTGTGTGTGTGTGTGTGTGAGGAAGTCCGTGGATTGGTCCAAACGTAACGGCTCCGCTACGTTACGTCCAGCAACGTGCAGTCAGGGGAGGCAGGGGAGGCAGAGCCTCACCTGTCATACTCCAATGTAACGGAAAAAACAACTAAAGAAAAACTAAATAGTAATAATAATAAAATGTCTCCACTGATCTGTGTTGTAAGTGTGATTTATGTATGATTCTAATCGCTTTTTATAGTCAAAATCAGCAAATTTGCCGAGCTCCGTTACGGGAGCGATGAGAAGTGAGGCAGGGACGTGCTCTGCCTCTCGTAAGCCCACAGTAACTTGCTGGAGCACGGGCACTAATTTAGCGCGGGCACTTATTTTGTGAGCGCGCTCAAGCCAGTTACTGTGGGGTGAGGTGAGGCACAGATGAGCTCTGCCTCACCTCAGAATGCGTCACCCCACAGAAACTGGCTGGAAAGCGGGCCCTAAGCGCATGCCTGTTACCATCTCACTGGGTCACCAATGTAATGTTTGTAGATCCCTTTATTACATTTATCCTCGCCATCCATAGTCTCTAAATAACTTATTTCACGTATATATGATATTTAGGCTCGCTGGTCTCATCATACAACGGCAATGAAAAAAGCACCAGGGGAGGCAGCCATAACCTCTGCGCACGTGAGCCCACAGGTTCTTGTTGCTACTGTTATTCTACGCAGAGACGGTAAACGCAAACAACAAACTAGACTTTTGAAACTACAGGAAGATAAGGAGGACTTTTACAAAACAGTAATAGAGATTGTTGTCCAGAAGGATAGCATGGACTTCATCTTCAAGTCAAGGTAAGACCACATTTGTAATGAAAATGGGATCTTACTAAGAAAGAACAATCCAATATTTAGATTTTGGGTATCCTTTTGTTGAACGGTCTGTTTAAAATGAATCGAAGCATCAGACTAAAAAAGCTTTTGAAAATAACCGAATATTTCGATTAAGGTCAAAATATAATATTTGTAAATCTGACTCAGTGAGTCAGTGCCTCACCAGCCATGAACCTCACCGCACGTCACTGGTTACGTCACTATACCCAATACGTCACTGTACCCAGGAAGAAAAAGAGAAATCCCCAACGAGGCATTCTGGGGCAGCATAGACAGGTATTTTCTGTGTTAGAGTTTTACTCGCTACAGGGTGTACTTTGAGGGTTTTTGACTCTGCAGACCGTTCACATGCATAAAAACCTTCATAACACACAAGGGGACGGGTATTAACCAGAAAAGCATGACATGGGACCTTTAATTGGTATTTTTGATATTTTCTTGTTAGCATTGTTCTGAAACATAGACATATATATCCTTCCCAGGCATATTGCAGACAATTCTGTCTGCTCTTAGAAAATGTGTTTTTTCCCACCAAAATTAGATAACATATCTTCAGGGAGTGCAGTTAGTGATAGTCAGGCTCCATGGTGCAACAGCTTAAATGAGTAGTGTCAATTGTATTTTTTATTTATGCAAGTAAAATAACAATGAACCATGTTTTGAATCTTGATGTGATATGCATTCATGCCTTTAATAAAGGCTCCAGTGATTCTGAGAATTTTTTTCATTTGCAGGGAAACAGCAAAAACAACCTATTACACAACAGCTGGTCTCAGGAGCTGACAGGAACAGAAGCAAGGCGTCTATCAGTATCCGTGGTAATGGATGTTTCCTGAGAGCTGTGAGAATATCCCACAATTTACTTGTTTATTTATACCCCCTGCCTAACAATCCACAGCTGTGGCAGTAGTTTCATGTGAAGAGATATTCCCTAGTTAAGTGCCAGTGAGGGAAAGCAGTTTAAGGAAAGGTCTTTCAATTGTGTAACATTTGACAGAACATACATAAAAAAAGAACTAACATGATCAATAAAATGTGAAAAAATAACAGTATTGTTGATATCAAAGTGATGTGTTGCAGAGATATCAACTGAAATTAGCATGCTAACTGACTAGCCCCTGTCTGCCACAGTAACAGAATTACACTTCCTGTGGAGGCTTTAGTGAGTCAACGTAGTGGTTCCCTCATCTCAAAGTCAGCTTTTTAAAAATGTGTTGGGTTAGATGCTATCTCTAGTTAACACATGCTTAACAGATGTTCAGGTTTTGTTCTAAGACGTAAAATATGGCAATTAATACCCTACTGCTTAATGTC